ACAGTTTGTAATTTGGAAAACCCTCTACAACCCAGGTCTTCCTGTGCCAAATTGCAACTGTTTATATTCTGTACTACCTCTTTTTATTTTATAATCAATAAAATCTGATTTTAATGCTTTTTTAAAAAGTTTTAAACATACCTTTATTTTATTTATTTTGAGAATCGAACTCAGTGCCTCACACATGCTAGGCAAGTGCTCTACCACTGAAACACAACCCCAGCTGCTCTGTACTACCTGTTTATGTGCAGATAACAACAGATTTAAAAAGGAGAAGAAAGGTAGATTTGCATTGTAGCATTGAAATTATTATTTCAGTGATTTACTGAGTTGCACAATATTCAAAAAGACAAAATGCAACTATGCTCATACTTCTACTCTTTGCATATTTATACAAATATTATATATTTATACTTGAAAGAATTTCACGAATCTTCTATGAATACCAATTGTTGAAGTATTTGCCTTGTACAAATGGAATGAACAGTTTTAACTTTTAATGAATTTGTTTATATCTACTTAAAATGCAACATTTAGGTTTTCTGATTTTCTTTGTCTCCGAATCTCTTTACCAGGGCCAACGTCTTTTTGAAAAACTGCTCCAGCTGACTTCGCAAAATATTGAAATCAAGCTAGTGAGTGATGTGACAGCTGATTCAAAGGTATTAGAAGCCTTGAAATTAAAGGGTAAGGCCAAGGTTGATATGCTACTTTACCACTGGGTATTCTGCTTAAAATACCTTAAATTTCACTTAAAATAATACATAATTTCTTTATAATCGGTACACTTCTTATTTCTTCTTTGAAAAAATAGCCTGATTAAAGCTTTTAAATGAGGAAACTAATTAATCAATACTACTGGGATTTTAAAATATATTTTTCACATTACTCTATGCAAAGTAATCTACTGGCTATTAAATGATAATTAATTGGTAAGAAGAATCTTTCTTCTCTAAACACTTCAATGATGTAATTAGGAAAAAAGGATCACTTCCCGTTAGAACAAACAGTCATTTCTGTTTTTCTCTTTCCCATCAAATGAAAATCCTCTTTATGCTACATATTCTTTAAAATAATAAAATTAGGTCTAGAAGTCTATAGAACACTAATTCCACAGGGGAACGCTACTCCCATGGCCATTCTGCAGTTGGTCTCGCCGTCTCATGAAGACTGTATCTTTCTCTAACTGAACTCTCACTTCCAAATAGTTTTTAATTATTTGTAAAAGTTTTTATCCAGAATTTACTCTCTGAACTGTAAGCCTTTAAAAACCTACTGGCGCATGAGAACCGGTGAACGTATCCAAGCCACCAGGTGTCTTTGAGTCTCAGGGGTTATCTGATGGCCTCATATCCCCTGTTTCTGCTGTTTGAACATTCTGGGCGTGTCCACTTGTCTTCCCCATGTCAAGTGAAAACACCTTCTAAGATATGGGACAGATTGGAGTAAGTGGACCAAGTAGCCTGTCCTCCTGCAGAAGGAAAATGTGAAGTGATAAAGAACATTAAATGACACAAACAGAAGACATTAGCTTGGCCAAGCAAATGAACCTTATGCTAGTCAGCTTTGTGGCATTGTTACAAAACACTTGAGATAGATAATCAATTTAATAAGGTTTATTGAGGCTCACGGTGTGAGAGGCTTCGGTCCATAGTCACTTGACCCTGTTGCTTTGGGCCTGTGGTGGCACAATATCATGGTGGGAACATGTGGTGGAGGAGGCCTGTTCATCTCAAGCAGATAGGAAATGACAGAGAGAGACAGGAAGAGGTCCAGGGTCCCAATATCCCCTTCAAGGGCACGACCCCCAATGCCCAAATTCCTCCTAATAGGCCCCACCTCTTAAAGGTTCCACCACCTCCCCATCATGCCACAGGCTGGTGATCAAGCCTTTAACAAATGGGGAGATCCTTGTCCAAATCATATAGTGAACCTGTCATCATTCATAGTATTTGATTCTGTACATAGGAAAACAAAGAAAATGTTATGAGATATTGTTTGGTCTAGAAAAAGTTTCACTGTGTTACTTGAGAAGTTTATCTGAGTGTCAGGAGAGGGACGCTGGGGATTAAATCCATGGATACGTCACCATGGAGCTACACCACAGCCCTTTTTATTTTTTATTTTTGTGACAGGTTCTCTTTAAGTTGCAAAGACTGACCTGGAACTTGTGATCCTCTTGCCTCAGCTTCTGAGTAGCTAGGATTACTAGCTGGGATTACACCCAGCTACAGCAAAAGGTTTTTGAAAAACCAGAGAATATCTGGTTCTGTGGATTGACATACAGAGTCATCATGGCTCAGAAATGTATTATTACTTTTCTCACTTACAGCATACGAAATTGGGTTTCCACAGTCTGAGAATCAACCATCCCCACCTTCTCAGACTGTGGCTTGAAGGTGGGATGGCTTTGAAACACAATTCCCATGAAGTCTTTGAATCAGGGAGGGATTTGATTTTACACAAGGATTCCTATAAATTCAGAACAGGTTTTACTAATTGTTTTCTTAACCTCACTTACAAACCACCTCCATCTGCATTCCCTCATAAACATATCAAATGCCATATGTTAATTTACCTCACTTGGGGCTTAGCAGCCTTAGCAGCAATTGCCCCTTTCCCTGAGGTTCTAAATTTC